ACCACCTGAAAGACCTTTCTTCTCCCTCCAGAAGCTAATAGGAGGAATTTTGCTCATTTATAGGACTTGAAAGAATGCCCTCTGATTCCCAGTGTCTCGTCAAGCAAATGCCTCTCCTTATACCTCAGTAAACTTCTTCTTCCCTGGATGTTTTTCCCTATAATTTTAGTTGCTACGAGCATATGAGGAGCAGCTCCAGGCTGGAGGCTTGGAAGTAATCCTTCCTGCATTGGATTGATTTTAAACATGAGGCTGTGATCTGACAAGTGTCTATGAATTGAATGGCAGATTTGTTTTTTCCTGCCACAGTTTCCCCCTGAATTGCTCCATTTAAAACCTAAACTACCCCCCCCCCCGCCCCCAGGAGTTGGAAAACTCCTCGGAGCCTCTCAGCCCAGCACTGCTTCTCCTGCCCCTTCCAGCCCACCCTGGAAATTAAGGATGTGCAATTGGAAATTGGCTGACAATTTGGTTGCGGATGCAGGAGGCAGATGGTGCTGAGAACAGGATGGCTTCCATGTCCCTCTTCTATGCCAGGCTTGGCTGGGAAGGGCGAGCAAGCAGAGAACCCGGGTTTGACAGCTCATTGTCAGTTTGATGCAAGGAAAGAGCAGTAACTAAAGCCCGTCTACAGCAGCCACGTCTCCACAGGCGTCCTTCCTCACGATCACGACCTTTGAGGATACAGGAAAAGTTGGCCAAGAGTACGTCGGAGAAGTCTTCCAGTTTTATACCCGAGGAGGGAGTAAACCTTTGATGGTGTCCATTAGGGACATACTTCTATGTTGTCTCTATAAATAGCATGAGGAAGTCATAATGGAAATATTGGAAGACAATTCACTTCCTTGTGGTGGAGGAAAGCACATAAAAGCTTTTTTCTCTCCAACCACAAAACCATGAGGGCAGAGTTCTTAGGAGGGAGGTGAGACCCAGGGCCTATTTCTTGGCAACCACATAACCTCTCGGAACCTGTGGCACCAGCCCAAGAACAAGAACCTTCTGATGTGGGCCAAGGAGAAAAGCAGGTCCCGAGGGGCTGATATTTCTGCTCTCCCACAGCTCAGCTGGCCTACGGGGGCGGTTCATTGAGCATAAAGTTCCCAGAGTCCCAAGATGGAAGGACAAGAAGCTGCAGTGTTACACACCCACCAGATGCGCTCTTGTCTCTCCCCTGTCTCAGGAAGCTGCCTCGGGGCTTTGAGGAGACCCAGCCAGCCACCCGGGGCTGCAGTGGGCCCATGGCTGCAGGGGGCAATGTGCCACTTTTGACCACTCTAGGACCATCTCCTAGCCCCTCTCAGCCCTTTGACCCTGCTGCCTCCTGAACATCTCTTGGGAGAAGCTGCTGAATTAAATGCCACTGCTCACATTTCAGTTCTTAGAGGCCTGCAGGGTCCTCTTTCTGCTCCCTTGCAGAGAAGGGCCAGCTAGTTGGGGAGAATGTTAACTGGCTGCCCTTCCACACGTGTCCACTAGATGTCCTCAGAGCTCTACTTTGTATTACCATTGAAATCCTGGGGAAAACTCCCTCTTTTGAGGGCTGGGATTTAGGAAAGAGCATTGGGTGACTACATAATAAAGAAAATAAGCAAACACCAAAGGAGAGAAGGCACTTTTCGTGGCCAGGGAGTAGATATGAAATTTACTTCTGTTTTAAATAAATACTGAAACTTTCAAAGTTTGCTCTTTGAAACCTAACCTTGGGAATTTTAAATGGCACTCTGTTATCTGAAATTAACCTTATAACCTGCATCAGCTCTAGAAAAGGAAACAATCCCAGAAAAATGGAAATAAAATACCAGTGATTCTGAAAATCCACAATTCTCTAAAATAAAACCAAAGGATTAGGAAGAGAGAGAGAGAGAGAGAGAGAGAGAGAGAGAGGAGATAGTTGAGGGTGACGAGGGGTAGTATTTTTCAAATTAGGAGATCCATGACTTAATTTTGATGTAATTTCATTTTACAACTGAAGGGTCTAACTTTATGCCCAGAGTGTCCACATCTCCTGGAACAGCTACCACCAGGGAGCCATACCCTCGTCTGTTTTTAGTTCAAGAGCTTGTTCAGGAGCCTAGAAGGTTCCAGAGGAAGGCTCTGCCACTGGGACACCCTGCGAGCCTGCGGATGGCTCCACCAGATGGGCCTCACCTTTTAAGAAAGTGGACCTGGAAGTGCATAGGTGAAGACACCTGACAGGGGGTCCGCACAGACGGGTCTTCCAGAGCAGAACAAAAGGGCCACCCTTGCAGGCGGGGCCCCTGGGTCTAGACATTGTCACTGGCAAAGGCTTGTCAGCGTCTGGGGCTCTATCTTTTTTAACTGTTTCTGTCTTGTCTTTGAGCCTCTCATTGATCATTCTTGCTGATTTATTTTATTTTATTTTTTGTATGTGTGTGTGTGTGGTGCTTGTTTGTCTCCGGAGATTTCTATTTTGTATTTGGAGTGAGTGTGAAAGCGATGACTGGGAAGCAATGACGAGTAATAGCATGTTTTCCTTTTTATGCATTTGCTGCTTTGGAATGTGACTGCTTATAATTAACGTTTAATCTTCTTATAGCAAATGGTTTTCTGCTGCTTGATGACCAGTTTCAGCTTGTTCCTGCATGCTAACAATATGAGATTTTAGAACAATGCATGGTCTCCAGAGGAGCCAGCAGAAACAGTTGCAAACAGTCCCTGAGAAGCGCTGGTTTAAGCTGTCTCCTCCTGAACCCTTATCAAGTAGGAGCTTTAAATCACCCATGATGACGGGCATACCTCTGACAAAACCGTTTCAAAACCACCCCACCCCCACCCTCCCTCCTCTTGTCCTTCAAGATGGTATATATATATAAGAACTTTCCTTCCCTATAAATGTGTCAGATTCTATTATTGAATATGAACCCAAAATGGCAGGATGAAAATGAAAACCAGGGACTGTTGCTAATGAGAAGCATAGCATTTCAGAGTTTGATGGGCTTCTCTTCTGCTACAGCATTTGATTAAAATTTTTTTCAAAACAATTTATCTACAGCGAAACAAAAAATCATCTTCGTTTCCCTCTTCTGTGTAAATAACAAATCAATATTTCCAGTAAGAGAACGAGGAAAGAAAAAACAAGCGAGGGGTCTCCAAGTTGTACACCGGATCTGGATGCATTTAAAATAACTTTATTTTCCTGTCTTCCGCTGAAGACCTTTCTCCTCTCTTGATTTCGGTAACTGTTGCTTGGGGGTGTCTGGGCATTCACGCCATACTTGCTAAATACTTCTGATTCAAATGCTATAGTAGAATCCCCCCCGCTCCCTAAAAACCAAGCCCAGGAATGATGTAGACCACACACTGAACAGGGCTGGGGCTGCTTGATGATGATCTGAGCAACTGACTAGCCAGGATGTTAAAAGCACACGTCACTTCAATGTGAGCCGCGTTCACAGGAATGGAGTTGCTGCTGAAGAGATCTCTCATTCATCGCCCCAGTGCCTGTTCCTCACAATCATAACGTTCCCCCTGCTTGACAAATATACTGGATGGCAAGTCATAAAGGTCTTAGAACAGGACTTGACCCATTTGAGAGATTTAAACCCCTCTTCCTGGTGACTGTTAACATTCAAAGAGGGCAAAACCACAAGCCATATTTTAAAGGAAGGGTGCAACCATTCTCCACAAAGAAAAAGAAAGGGGGGAAATACGACTTTCCAAATGGAAGGTGTGGACGCAGGGAATGACACCTCCCTTTAGTTCCCGTTCCTCTTTGGCCCTGATGCTTGGGATAAATAACAATTCTTCTCCCCCCGACCAGGGAGGGAAGCAGGCCAGTTCAGGCTCCGTGGTGAGCAAACTTTTTTGTCTGTTGTAGCTTCACACGGAGGTACAGAAGCTTCTCTCGTTGTACTTACCTGTACACTGGCCTGGAGGGTAAAGGTGAAGGACATTGAGGGCCACTGCGGTGAGCTCCGGCAAGCTTTTTGTAGGCTAGCGCTTGAGTAGAGTCCCCAGGCAGCAGAACCAACAGTACTAGCTTTAGAAGCACTCTCGGTGCTGGGCGAGTCTCAATCTCTTACGTGGGAGCTCTTCTTTTATTTCATGTTTCATAATTTTTAATCTATTTTGGCCACGATTTTTTGCGTAAGAAAAAATTATGATTAACCAACAGCCCGATTGCTTTCTGAATTTGGGGTGGGCGAGGAGAGAAAAGGCGATAGGATTTTCAGATCCTCCCAGCTTTGAGCGGAAAAATACGCCATGAGTAGCTGAACGCATCCCAATAGACCAGCCTCTCCTGTGCTCTGGGTGATTTTTATTTTTGAACTGCCTTTAATGTCAACCACGCAGCGTTAGCCTTGAGTAGCTGCATTTCTTATGTGGACAGATTTGGATATTTGTTCTGTCAAGAGTAAATTTAAATTCCTGTAGGCATCACGTCAGCCCACTCTGGGGAAGTTCGGCAGAAGCATCCTCGGATTCTATATTAACACGTAATCGTTTCACATCTAATTTGATGAAAGCCTGTCCCAGGCTCTGCCTAATGCCCAGGAATGGATGGAAATGAGGAAGCCTACATATTAGCTAGTTTTGCATCTTGCAAAAGCCATTTATTGTACCCTGTCAGCAGTTCATTGATTGGCCGTGTATATATTTTGTCCTCCTGTATTAATTGTGCCGGGGGAAAAATGTCGGTTACATCTTTGCTGTCTATAATGTGCTCTTCCTCTCATCCAAGACGCCGATTGTAATCAGCCTTGCCCTTTTCCTGCAGTCACCCGCTTCACCGAAGGGAGAAAAATCATACACCACAGCCTTGGGGGATTATGAAGGCAATTTATATTTTCGCTGCTTTCTTTTCATTGTACCACCAAACTGTTGCCAACAGTCACTGTGCATTTTTTTTCTGGGTCAAGACTGTTAATGTGAACTAAGACCTGTGTTCAATCCCTTCAGCTCCCTTCCAGCCGCCCTGCTGTGTGACCTTGCCATTAACTACCGCTCTTCCTCTCCTCTCATCCACCATGCGGTTATAGCCAAGATGTCCATCTACAAGAGAATGAGACGGGCATGTTGTTTTGATTGCGGACGTTCTGAGCGTGACTGCTCATGCATGTCAGGCCGTGTGCGTGGTAACGTGGACACCCTTGAGCGAGCCTTCCCACTTTCTTCTGTCTCTGTTAATGATTGCCCCACCAGTATCCGTGCCTGTAAGTTTCACCCGACACACGCAGCTCGGTGTCTGTGCTGTCCGTGGTATCATCCCCGTCTTGTGTCGTGCCCTGTGCTTCTGTCAGTCAGTCCAGCTGATGTCTCCTTCCCTGTGTGACCTCGTCTGTGGTGATATGTCGCCCCAGTTGCCTGTGTCACTGTGTATGTGCCTCCCTTGCCGTCTGCTAATGCATGCTTCTTGGAATAGCGTGTGGGACTGTGATGTTACAGTCTGGTGACAGTCTCCTTCTCCCCTTTAAATAAATATAGATGGAAATTAAGGTGACAGCAAATCAAATTCAATATTAATGCAGAGATGTGTGGAAATGCGTATCTTACTATTTGGGGAAAGCTTAGCCATTGGATTGGGTCGAAGGGGAGGAAGGAAAATGGTACAGCGAGAACAAGCCAGCTCTAGCTGTAAATTCTTTTTAATGAGTTTAGATAGTTGGCAAAATACAGCAGGGTTTCGATGCAGAAGGATTTTTTGGACTGCGTCCCCCTAATCTGTATCTCGTCCCCCCCAGTGCCAGATTGTGTCCTGTGCTCTGAAAAAAGTATTCTCCCACCTAGATAAGCTGGTGGAGTCTGGAGCCCCCCTCAAAACGATGACTAATTCAAAGCAGCGTTCCAAATTTATCTTTGATTTTTCCAAAAAATGCCGCCCCCCATTGAAGGTATCGTGTAGCAATTGTGATTCCCAATAACCAAAACCGTAAGCAGCGAACCTCCGTGAGTTCCTGGAGTGTGTCGCACGGGCCCTTGGGGTCAGCCTTCTTGGTTGCCTGCACGCTCAGGGCTGTTAAAGGGCCCGCGAGGTCCTGAGCTGGCAGCTGATGGAGCTGAGCTGTGCCAGGTTCCTGAGACGGCCCTCATCTCCGTCCCCAGCCGGGGCTTTGTGGTGCTTTGTGACATGATTCCTAGGCGATGTCCCTGAAAGCTCCCGCTTATACAGAGCGACGCTGGCAAGGGGGTGCTCCTCTGAGGGCAGGAGAGGCTGTGGTTCCGCATGAGGACCTGGATGCCGTAAATGTACTGCAACCTTATCTTCACAGGTTCGGTAGCATGGGGGGCAGAAGACAGTCTTTTTGCGCTTCATCCCTTCCTCTTAAAAGCAACCAACACATTTATCGGTGACCTATTGCCATCCAGGATCTCCCCTAAGTGTGCAAAGCCGGTGGGATTAAACTTCCATCAGCTGGGTTCATTCACACTGGCAGCAAGGATGGAGAGCATTTACCCCCATAGAAATCTTGCCCCGCTCACCTGTGCTGACGTGGAAGGTGGTCCCAGCCCGGCGTGCCTGGGTGACGGTGACCCAGAGGCCCCGAGGGCTGAGAGAGTCCTGATGGCACCGGGTGCAGTGGGGAAGTGCCCAAAACCAGGTGCTGGTGTCCATACCTGCAGTTCAGGTCTGAGGTGTGATCGGTGCATTGAGCTGTCTTAGCATCATCTGGAAACGTTAGATCTAGGACGGAGAATCATCCTCTCAAACTGGTGATTCACTGCCTCCACCGAACAGTGCCAAGGGACAAGACTCATTTGTAAAAGTGATAGCTAATGGAGGCTGCCTTGAGAAGGATTTGGGACTGTCTAAGTCAGGGGTCCTCAAACTTTTAAAACAGGGGGCCAGTTCACTGTCCCTTAGACCGTTGGAGGGCCGGACTATAGTTTAAAAAAAAAAACTATGAACAAATTCCTATGCATACTGCACATATCTTATTTTGAAGTAAAAAAAACAAAACGGGAACAAATACAATATTTGTATTTGCATGTGGCCCGTGGGCCGTAGTTTGAGGACCCCTGGTCTAAGTCTTATCTTGACGTGGCTAAAAAGGAACTTGTTAGAAAGAAGGTCCCCTTTAAAATGTTTCTTCCAGATGCCACAGTATGAATTCTTACCCCTTATTCTCATTGTAAGAGTTCTCTCTCGTCCTGTGATACTACCAAGGTGTACTAGGTCACAACCACACAAAGAATGCGTGTGCCTGTTAAGTGTGGCAAGATTCCAGCTTCAGAGACATGAGCTGGGGAGGAGGAGCAGCGGGGTGAGCTGCGGTGGCACCAGTTGGCCACATCGCTTTGACCGACCGTGGAGAATGTAACTGTCAGCCACTGGGCTACCCTTTTGCCAAAGGCATAATTGCTGTTTCCAGATAATTGCTGGGCTCTCAAACGTTGGCCAGAGGTTCAGTGGAGGAAAGGAAGGAGCCACTCGGGCTCTGAACTAGGGCTTTGTGGTCATGTCTTGGCCAGGGTCACCCATTCCACTCACAGCAAAACCTGGGTGAGGCCCATCGTACCCAGTGTGTGTAATTTCCATTTTTCCAGGAGAAGCCATAATTGGAGGGATTTCTCGGCTCTGCAATTTAATCTAAGTGTTGATGGAGGCCAGGAGAAGAAAGCTTGGGGTGGGATTGCCCCGTGCTCTCAGAAACATCCTGTGAGTGAGCTTGTTGTCCTTCCTGCCCCTCTGAAATCAGCCCCACCGTGGAAATCAGGGGGCTTCGGGCTGCATGTGGAAGCCTTAACTGGTACTGACAGCTCAGGGGTAGGGGGGGTTGCCTCCCCTGTTTCATCAGTCTTTCTGCCGTCGTCACTCCATCAAACAAAAGCAGATTTCATCCATGCCTGTGTGAGACCACTCACCTTTGACCATTAATAATAAGTTAGGAAAACCCATTCCAATTTGAGTCCCTTGATGCGCCCACATAAGCCCTTCTTCTCCAATTAAAGAACGTCTGTCTCTATGTGGAATTCTACTGGCAGAGCTCCAACTGCAACCCGGCCTTCCCTCGCGGCTGGTGGGTTGGGTGGTGCCCGCTTGACAGAGCTGGTTGACTCAAAGAGCAGTGGTGAGAGCGGGCTTTTCATTAAATATGAGCAGATGTGAAATGTGGAGGGTTTGACAATTAGAAATGGCAGGAGAAGGGCCCTTGAATCAGAGTGAGGTCAGATGGGCGGATCAGATTACTTCTCTTACATTCTTTAGTTGTTCTGAAAATCATTTTGAATTAGTGTCAGCAGAGCCATGATGGGTTTTGCCCTTTGTCTTTTATGCTGGGGCTGTATTGTTTCCCAAGACACTCATTAAAGGTCATTATACGATTACGGAGCCTGCTTTGGTCGCAGTTTCCCCGTTGAGCCAGCGTGCTCAGGAGGCTGCCTAATTCGTTTCTCGCTTGCCTTTCGTCTCCCTCTTTACTCCTTTTTTTTTTTCTTATAAGGGGAAAGATTTCCGTTTTCAAGGGACATTAAATTGAAACACAAAGTCCCATTATGTGTTTTCTGAAGTGGGAAGGGAAGTAGCCGGCTCCCAGAGGAGTGGTAACGTATTAAAGTGTTCACACGGTTTTAGAAATCTGCCTGCCAATAGCAGGACCTGCCTGCTCCGCTCACCTCTCCTCCGAGGTGTGGCCCATTACCGCCCATCGGCTTCTGTTAAGTCAGGGGCTGCTCTAACTGGCGTCTCCTTCTATTCATCTCGCCAGAGATGTGAGGCCAGACGGTGGTGATAAAAAGATCTGCCAAGAGGAAGGAGTCCTTTACACAAGACTTAAAAGACAGTGTCAGAAAAGGAAGGCAGAGTGACCAATGAGGGTTCCACGCAAGGCTGTCCTGCCTGGGGCGAGACTGTGTTGTCCAGGGTGGCAGGCTGGGCGGTATGCACCTAGCGTCCCTGTCTGGTTATTCCGACTTTGTTTCCACTTCAGAGCATCCTTGGAAGGGGTACCAGCTCTCTTGAAACCACTCATAAAAATCTTTTTACAAGCAGCTGTGTTCTAGTACCATCAAATATAAAAATATATGTCTAGCAACAGACACGCATATCAATATAGATTTAGGTTCCAATCAGTTCCATTTCCCCTCGATAAAATTTTGTAAAATGGTCCTTGTTCTCTGTTCAGAACTTACTCTTCTTATTTGTCTTGCCTGCCATCTGATTGCTAAGTCTAACAGAAAGGGACAATTAAAATTATGATGCAGTGACAACACAGGGCCTATTGATTCAAACCTGCTGAGACCGCCTGACAGGATGCTGGCCGCACACCGTCAGTGACCGTGGCATGAACAAATTAATCATGTGCTGGAAGAGAAACAGGCCTGAGACTTGCCCTTGGAAAGAGTTTCAGTTAAAGTACATGTGTGATCGCTCACACCAACCTTTCCATTTACTAATAGTTTAAACCTGCACAGTTGCATAAGCCCTTTTCCAAAGCACTGCAGCTAATTTTAAATGGTGCATGACTTTTATTTCGGCTAGAAATTTAATGCAAGGAGGCATTCAACTCCAGTGGTTAGTTTGGGACGAGAAGTCCGATATAATTGGGTTGAAGGGAGACATACCAGAACCAGTTCAGTGTAATCTTGAGTCTTGTCAGATAATAAACAGCAATCAGCGTATCCCGAGCAGCCTTTGGTTTGTCCAGGCAGAGAATTAACATCATCAATAGAACTGAAGTCACTTGAGTGAACTAACGGCATTTTGAAGTGCATAACATCAGATACAGGGGGAGCGGTTGGAAATAGCTCTAGGAAGGAAAATGTCCATAGTAGGACACACCCTGTGCTGACAGTCTCCAATGCCTGCTAAAGGGAGATTTAATTCATGCATTTAAAATTCAACAGCCTATCATTATCTCATTCCTTTTATGTATAGTTTTGGGTGATTTCCTCCAGCTCCCCAATCCTAAATTTTCTTTGTTTAATTTTCTTTGTTTATTTTACTTCTAGTCTTTCTCCCTCCCCCCATCCCTGTCATTCTCTCTCTCTCTCCCTCTCTCTCTCTTTCTCTCTTTCTCTCCCCCCCCCACCCCCCATGACACCCTTTGAATCATACTCTAGCTCTTGAGCTTGCAATGGCCCATGTCCTGCTTTGGCCATTTCCACTTTGTTTCGTGAAGGGAACACCAGGCAGTCGGCCTGGGCAGCCATGTACCCTTCCCAGGAGACTGATGACATACCAGGAATGGCCTCTTAGAGCACCTTTGTTGGTAGC